GAAATTGTTGATTAGCTTAGTTTCGATCTTGGTTTCAATGGATTGTGAGTAGTTCTCTTTTTAGGGGAATGGTTAAGCATATATGAGTAATGGATTGATGCTAATTGGGGGAAATTGATGGAGTTGATGTTGTGATTAAATAGGTTGATTGATTAAGTCCATGTGTGTGATTAATTGAAGAGTAGCTTACTTTGATTGTTACACTAGAATGCATTGTAAGCTCGCATTGATACGGAAAATTGATTTGTGGCTTGCTTTTGTCGATTGAGTAGGTTTGCAAGGTTCCTAGTTAGAGTCTCTCGTAGTTGACGCCAGCTTGAACTCTAGGAGATTAGCCTACCTTACTCTCTTGATTGCTTAATTAATTTTCCTTCGCAACACTTGACTTAGTCATCTCCAATTCCGATTAGCTATATCCATTCCGAGTATATGTGGATCCTAACCCTAGGGCTTGATAAATTTGGTTTCATTTTGATTGTTTAGAATATACACACCTCACTTCATTGCTTAGAAATAGCTTAGCTTTAGCATTAGCATTCATCTCCCATTCCTAGTGGTTTAACCCTCGACTTACTCTATGCTTGGTATAAGGGTGTGTTGAGAGATTACAAATTTTGTTTTGACCGAGGGTAGATTAGTTTTCAACGACCTAGTCTCCGTCCTAGATAAAAAATGGTGCCGTTTCCGGGGAATGGAGTAGTTGTTTGCTATTGTTGTTGAGTCTTTTTCACTTATTCTCAAAAATACAAAAAGATTTTTCTCTTTAGGCTACATTTGTAGCCGTGCTATTGATATTTTCTTTGAGTTTTTGTATGCGTAGGATAAGAGGAAGGACTTTAGTGCCATTTGATTCGGAAATCGAGAAAACAATAAAAAGGATAAGGGTTGCTAATCGTTCTTTGAGTCCAAGCTCTCCAAGAGAGGAAATTCACCAAGAAAGAGAAGAGGAGGATCAAGTAAGCATGGGAGATAATCCAAGAGTTGCTTTGAAGGAGTTGGGAACTCCCGACGCATATAGGTTTGAGAGTGGCATAGCTCCACCAACAACTCCTGCCAATGACTTTGAGATAAGGCCGACAATGATAACAATGATTGAACGAAGGCAATTTAGTGGATCTAAGCATGAAAGCCCACTAAACCATCTCAAAGAGTTCGAGAAGTATTGTAATACCATCAAGGTCAATGGGGTTTCTCAAGATTTCATAGGGCTTAAGCTATTTCTGTTTTCTCTAATCGGAAGGGCTTTGGAATGGTCGGACAAGGAAGTGAAACCTAATTACTTGAGAACTTGGGATGAGGTTACTAAGGATTTTCTTTCTCGCTTCTATCCTCAAAAGAAGACCGCCGAGGCAAGAGCTCTAATCCAAAGTTTCAAGCAAAAGCCTAGTGAGAGTTTGTATGAGGCTTGGGAAAGATACAAGGAGTATCAACGTGAATATCCTCATCAGGGAATTCTAACCTATCAAATCATACAAATTTTCTATGGAGGATTGAGCCCCCAAGGGAAGTCGTGTCTTGATGTTGGAGCCGGAGGCCCGATTATGAACAAGACCGAAGAAGAGGTTGTAGATATAATTGAGGATGTAGTTCGTCAGTACATGGATTGGCAAGAGGGAGAGAGAGAGTCCGTAAGCAAGAGTGGCTCAACGGTTTATTCGGTTGATCATCTTAATGCAATCAATAGCTTGTCTTCCCAAATCTCAAACTTGGGAAAGGAGATGACATTGATTAAACCCAAGCTAGAGAGTGCCTCTTCGATTGCACCAAGTCTTCCCTCCCACATAAAAGGGAGAGGTACACTTTCTAACTCTACTTTTCTTTCTACTTCGAGTAATATGCCAAGTGGTTGTGTTTTTTGTGATGTTTCTGGGTCTTATGACCATGATTCTTCAAATAGTCCAAATGATTTTGAGAATTGTGATGATGTTGAAAACAATGATTGTGAGCAAGTAAATTTTGTTTCTAATAATAACAATGGACAAAGATTTGATGGTCCAAGGAATTTTGGGATAAGAATTCTCACCAACAAGGTAATTTTGATAACTACAACAATGGTGGTTATAGGAACCAAGGAAATCAAGGTTTCCAAGGTAACTATAATCAGGGGTGGACCTATTAAGCCCTTATGGTGAGCAATTGCAGCCCCATTTTGTTAAAAAAAAAAAAATCAGGTACAAAGCCCAAGATAGTTAAAAAAAAAGGCCCAAAAAAATTGAACCCCCATTCTAAATGTGTCACAAGCTAAGTAGTGGCTCCTTATTTCTCCAATTCTCCTAAGTGTTTCACGTGATAGGGGTACATAAAAAGAAATATTTATTTATTTTAATTTTTTTTTAAAAGTTCTTGTTCAGTCACTCACCCTTTTCAACCCTTACCCAACTTTCTCTCTCTAACTCAAATGCCTCAATAGCTCAAATGCCCAGATCTGCTTAGTACTACTGCCCAACTGCTGCCTAACCCAACCTCACTGACTCACCGAGTCACCGCTAGTTTTGTCGACCTGAGTTCGCTGCCGGAAAAGTTCGTCGCCGCTGACCGCTTCTGAGTTCCGACTTCTCCAAGCAGCATTGTCTACACTTGAATTAATATACAAGAATACAAGGTATTAAGGTTAATTAATTTTTCCTTATTGTACAAATTTATATACTTCTTGCCTTTACTTTGAAATGTTTGATCAAAATTCAAGAATTAATTTGTACTTTATAGAATTAATTTGTGTATTTGATTGATTTAGATTGTAGATTTCAACTTTAGAGTACTAATTAGACTATTAAAGTGACTGTGTGTGAGTGATTAACTTAGGTAATTGATTAAATTTACATGAAATTGAATGATTGTCTTATTCTAAATTCTAATACTGTGCAATTGCTAATTGTGCAAATGTGACTGATTTTTTTATTAGTTTGTTTATGACTATTTACTTATTTAGAGTATTCTATTTTTCTATCAGTGAAAGATGGTTGATGATAGGAGTAGTCCTCCCCGTAAGAAAAAGAAAGGAACTTTGGATTGGTTTATTCAAAAATCCAAAAGAAGTGAGGCAAGTTCTTCATCACCAACTCAACCTCCAACAACTCAAACAGAGCAAGAGTGTTCATCCCCATCAAATAACACACCGGAAACTCAGGAAACCGGAACGGGATCAATACCTACTACAAATGGGAGTACAACATTTGCATCAAGGGAGAGAAAAAGTGAGCTTGATGTTACTTCATTGCCACATGATCCAGCTAAAAGGAGAAAAATTATGGAGTATCATCCGATGGACCAAGATGCAGTGAGGAGAGTATATATACAGAGAGGTCCTTGTCAGCCACTTACTCACAAATTTCTTCAATCAAACTTCGGAGGAGGTACATTACGTCGCTTTAATCGTTCTTGGTTTAAGAAATATACTTGGCTTGAGTATAATGAGTCAAAAGATGCTGCATTTTGCCTTGTGTGCTATTTGTTTAAGAATGAAACTTCTAAAGCTGCAGGGGGGATGCTTTTGTTGTTAATGGATTTAGAAGTTGGAATAGGCCAGTTAGATTTAGGAAACATATTGGTGGGGTTAATAGTGATCATAATCAAGCTTTACAAAAGTTTGAAGATATAAAAAATCCAAAAACATCCATCCAAACTTCCTTGACTCAAGCTTCAGATCAAGCAAAATATGATTATAGAGTCCATTTGACTACTTCACTTCAATGTTTGAGATTTCTTTTGCGCCAAGGATTGGCATTTCGTGGCCATGATGAAAGTGAAGATTCAAATAATAAAGGAAATTTTCTTGAACTTTTCAATGGGTTGCCGAAAAAATGAAGATGTAGGAAATGTAGTCTTAAAAATTTCTCCAGGGAATAATCAAATGACTGCTCCTTCAATTCAGAAAGATCTTATCAATTCTTGTGCTACAGAAACTACTAAAGCAATTGTGAATGATATTGGTGACGATTATTTTGGCATTTTATTCGACGAGTCTAGTGATGCATCTCAAAAGGAACAAATGGCTTTGTGTGTGCGTTATGTTGATAAGAAAGGAATGATAGTGGAACGGTTTCTTGGGATTGTTCATGTTCGGGACACCACTGCCTTGTCTCTTAAAGAAGCTATCCTTTCTTTGCTTAATGAACATTCTTTGAGTTTGTCCAGAGTTCGGGGGCAAGGATATGATGGGGCTAGTAATGTGAAGGGTGAAATTAATGGGCTCAAAACTTTAATCAAGAATGAAACATCTTCTGCATACTACATTCATTGTTTTGCTCACCAACTTCAATTGACTCTTGTTGCCGTTTCTAAGAAAAGCAAAGATTGTGGTTGGATTTTTGACACACTTGGTGATTTATTAAATGTTGTCAGAGTATCTTGTAAGAGAAAAGATGTTCTTAGGGGAAAACAAGCTGAAAAATTTACTAAAGCTATTGAAAATGGTGAACGTGAAAGTGGAAAAGGTAAGAATCAAGAACTTGCCTTAGCTAGGCCATGTGACACATGTTGGGGATCTTATTATAAATTGATGGTAAATGTGATTTCTTTGTATCCTGCAATTTGTGAGGTGCTTGATTTAATTGGGGATGATGCTAGAAATTCAGATGATGCTCGAAAAGTGGATAATGTGAGTTTTGCAATTGAGTCATTTGATTTTATTTTCATGATCCACTTGATGAAAACAATATTTGGGATTGTAAATGAATTAAATAAGGCTTTGAAAAAAGGAGATCAAGATATTGTTAATGCCATGTCACTTGTTTCTTTGACTAAAGAAAGATTACAAGACATGAGAGAAAGTGGGTGGGATAATTTCCTTACCACAACCACTACATTCTGTGAGAAAAATGGCATTAGTGTTCTTGATATGAATGGTGTGTATACTCCTCCGGGAAGGAAAAAACGTGGTTGTTTGGATACTACTAATATGCATCATTTTCGATTTGAAGTATTTTTTTAGTGTAATTGATCTTCAACTACAAGAGCTTAATAATCGATTCGATGAGGTTAGTATGGAATTACTTGTTAAAATGGCTTCTTTAAGTCCCGTTGATGTTTTCTCTTCCTTTGATAAACAAAAGATACTAAAACTTGACGAGTATTATGAAGATGAGTTCTCAAGTGCTGATTTGTTAAGCCTTGATGATCAACTAGGGAACTATATTACTAATATGAGAAGAGATGATAGATTTTGGGGATTAAATGATCTTAGTGAACTCTCCATGAAGTTAGTTGAAACAAAAAAGTGTCAAGTGTTCCAACAGGTTTATTTGCTCATAAAGTTGGTGATGATTCTTCCCGTGGAAACCGCAAGTGTGGAAAGAGCATTTTCATCAATGAATTATGTGAAGAATAAGTTACGAAATAGCATGGGTGATCAATTTTTAAACGATTGTTTGGTTACTTTCATAGAGAGAAACATCTTCCTTGAAATTAGTGATGATGATATCATGAAGCGATTTCAAGAAATAAAAACTCGACGAGAACAATTATAATTTTTTTTTATTTTGTTTTCCCCCTTATGAATGTATTTGGTTTGTATTATTGAAAACAATTTGTAATTTTCGGTGATGTATCTTGACATTTCTTTACTTTGTTGTTCGTACATTGGTATGATTAAGTTGAAAGTTTATTTTAGACCCCCATTTATAAATTCCTGGATCCGCCACTGACTATAATAACCAAGGTTATAGTAATCAAAACCAAAGCCAATGGTATGTAAATCAAGGCCAATCTCATGGTTTTGGTGGCCAACACCAAAATTTTGGTAACAATCAAGGCCGAGGTAATTGGAACAATCAAAATAGGGGAAATTTTCAAAACAACAGCCAAAGGGGACCCTCACCCGGACTTTCTCCAAGACCTCAAGGAAATGGTGATAATTCTTATGCTCAACCCCCATCTTCCAATTAAGACTACCTTAGAGGAGATCATTGAGAACCAAACCAAGATTTTGAACACCTACATGTCGGTGAGTGATAAGAAGTTCAATGAGATAATGACACACAACAAGATGCTTGAAACCCAAATCACTCAACTAGCCAACACTTTGAAAGATTGTGCTAGCCCTTCTTCACTACCCTCTCAAGGAGTTGATCCTAAGAAACCCGTTTATTCTATCACCACAAGGAGTGGAAAAGTTCTTGAAGAGAGAGTTTCTAGGAATAGTGAGGAGGATGAGAGGAAGAGTGATTTGTGACTCAAGTGAGGAAAAAGAGAAAGATGTTTCGAAGAGTGTGAGCAAGGAGGAAGTCCTTGAGAAAAAAAAGAGTGTTGAGAGAGTGCAAGAGGAAGTGAGAAAACCCGACCTTCCATATCCCCAAAAGTTTATGAGGAACAAGTTAGATGAACAATTTGGGAGATTTCTTGTCATGTTGAAGGAGGTCCATATTTCTATCCCTCTTACCGAAGCTATGACCCCAATGCCTAGATATTCCAAATTCCTTAAGGATATTTTGAGTGGCAAGAGAGAGTTCAATGAGGTAGATTTGGTAGAGCTTGGTGAGTGTTGTAGTGCTTTGATTCACAATGACCTACCGAAGAAGATGGAATATCCAGGCAATTTCTCTATTCCTTGCAAGATCAAGAGTAAGTTGTTTGAAAATGCTTTGAGTGACTTAGGTGCTAGTGTTAGCATTATGTATTACTCGGTGTTCAAGAAGCTTAAGCTAGGAGAACTTCTTCCTACGAACATAACCTTGCAATTGGCTGATAGATCTATTAAGTTTCCAAAAGGAAGAGTTGAAGATGTTCCCCTTAGGATTGGTGGTTTCACAATTCCCGTAGATTTTATTGTGCTAGAAATCGAGGAGGATGACTATTTAGGGTAAAAATACCCTAGACACGTGGACTAATGAGAGGAGGCCACGTGTTGAGTTTAGGATGGCCCACGTGACCTAATATCCTCTTGACACATGGCCCCCTTGGATAAACCTCTGAAATGGCGGCCTTTAAGGGCCCAAATCCCAAGAAGCGCCGTAAAACGGCGCAACCCACTAGAATCTAGGTCAAGTGACCTAGACAGGGGCACATTCTCCAACGACCCTATAAATAAGGAGATATTTCCCGACTTTGGGGACACGTTCAATCATTTATTACACCCACATTCTCTCTCATCAGAAAAACACCTGAGCTTGGAATGTAAGCAGATCCCCACCTAAATTTTCGTACTCTTTATTCCCTTTCAAGTTACTAACTTGATCTTCGGAGGCGGAGCTCCAACCACCCGGAGTCTCCGTTGTTTTGCATGTACAACTCAGCCGGACCAGTCTTTGTGACGTAACTCTCCCGAGGGACAAAAACACCCAAAACATTTGGCGCCGTCTGTGGGGAGAGTACCTCGAAGATGGTTAAAGAGTCTGTACCACCCCCTAAGCGTCTGGGCGATGACCCAGAAGTTTTCACAGACCAAGAGGATGAAGATCCTCAGGTTGAAACTTATACAGCCGATGATGGCTCTCTGATAACCAAGCGCATCCGACCCAGAGACACTCTAGAGCGGGGTGCCACCCATGCGGGTACAAATCGACCTCCTGGGCAGCCGGAAGGGGAAACCCACACGGCAGCTGGATCAGCACCTATCACCCGAGATGAACTCATGAGATTCATGACAAGTTTCAAGGGTGAAATCAAACATCTAATCACTAAGAGTCGGGCTAGCCCAAGTAGGGGCCAGTCGGCAAAAATACTCCTTTGGAAAAGGGGAAGTCAGTCAGAGGTCGGCAGCAAACTCCTCATCGAAAGGAGAAGGCAGCCGGGACCATTGATTGGTCCAAAATTCTTCTGCCTTAGAGGAATACCAACAATCCCTGCCAGACTCAACAGCCGGTGGGAAGCAAAAAAATCAACTCTTGATGCCCGGGAGATCATCACCCGCAAGAGGAATCAACAATTGTCTGAGTCAGCTTCTACGTCAAACTTTCCAGACAGCTTCAACAACACCTCTGCAGGGAATGCACTTTCCCTACATGAGAGCCAGACAGGCGGTAACACCGTCAATTCTGGCCCTTAGATGATTGGGACTGCACCGTATGTACCTTCTCAGGTCTACGGTCAGTATCCTTCTTATTTCATGCATCCGGCCTTCTTCGGAGGTCAGGCGGCATACAACAATGCCCAGCCACTGGACTGGCAGCTCCGTATGCTCCGCCTGGGTGAACAACCTTCTGCGTTCACCCGGGAGATAACCGAGGCGGCACAGCCGGCCAAGGTTAAAAATGTGTTGGTAGGTACCTATGATGGTACCACCAACCCGGAAGATCACCTCATGGCATACACAAACCTCATGTACTTACAAGGGTTGGATGATGCCACTTGGTGTCGGTGCTTCCCGGCACCGTTGAAGGGCATTGCCCAACAATGGTTTGGCAACTTGCCAGCTGGGTCCATCGATAGTTTTAGGAAGCTTGCCTTCCTGTTTGCTTCCAACTTCTCAATGAACATCCCTGCAAAGAAAACAAGTCTTGACTTGAGCACCATTAAGCAGGGGGAGAGAGAAGGGCTGCGCTCCTATGTCAGGCGGTTCAATCTGATTAGAATTCAGATCCAAGGACTGTCTGATGAGGTAGCCTTTACAGAATTTTTTAAGGGTCTGAGAGACGGGTCGACTTTTAAGTTCGACCTAATCAGAAAAAGGGCCCTGAGGGAGGCGGAAAGCTACATTCAAGCAACCGACCTCTGCTCGCCTGGTAATCAGTCGAACTCCAAGAAGTCTGACAAGCAGAAAGACAGCCGGCTAAAAAGAAAGAAGAGAGCAAGAAAAGAAAAGAAATCTGGACGGTTAGTGACTCTGACCATCCATCTTAGAAGAAGAAGAAGAAAGAATTTAAAACGTACGTTCCTAAGTACGAGTTTAACAAGGACTGCAACTCCATCCTCATGGAAATTAAGGACCGGCTGTCCCTAGAGAAGCCGAATCCAATGAAAAGTTCCAATCAATCAAGGAACAAAAACAAATTCTGCCAATACTATGAGGAAGTTGGCCATGACACCAACGACTGCTTCAGCCTTCAACGGGCGTTGGACCGTCTAGCTGACAAGGGGATGTTAAAGTCCTACATTTCTAAGTCCAAAGGGACTAATAATAAGAACCAGGGGCAGGCGTCTAAGACACCCCAGCCTGCTAGTAGTTCGGACACTGATAAGGAGCTGGTCTACACAATAGCAGGCGGGTTCTCATGCGGTGGCCCTACCATCCGGGGCACCAAGAGCCATCTTCGAAAGATGGACAAAGATGATGATGAGCAGGCCTATGCTAGTTCCTCCTTCCCAGACGTCCTGATCACTGAGAAGGACATGGACATGGGCAGCGTCCGCCGTCCGCATGATGACCCGGTTGTCATTGAATGTAAGGTTGCCAACCAGCTATATGGACGGATCCTTATTGACATCGGCAGCTCATCAGACATCATCAGCCTCCGGTGCCTGCAAAAGTTGAAATACAATGTCAGCAGCATGCATCCGGTTACCCACCCCTTGGTTGGTTTTGGGGGTGGAATGGTTTACCAATTTGGAAGGGTTAATTTGCAAATCCGGTTGGGTGAGAAAGGAAAAGGACGACACATGGTTGTCAAGTTCTTGGTCGTTGAGGAGCTGACCGCCTAAACATTATTCTGGGCAGGCCAACCGTTAATGAAGCTAAGGCTGTAATCATCCCTTCCCTCATGCTCATCAAGTATGAGAGGGATGACGGCTATGTTGGTTCCTTGAATAGGGATCAAAAGACGGCCCGGGAGTGCTATCTCTCAGCCGTCAAAGATACTGTGGCCCTAGACAGCAAGGAGCCAATAGACCTTGATAATCTCAAGGATGCCGACCCAGCCCCAGCCCCACCAGCAACCGGAAAGAAAAGAAAGGCACCTCTGCTGGTGGAGATGAAGAAAGAGAAAAAATAGCAATCACTGACCGGGGAACGATCAGATGAGCTCCGTCCCCAACCGGCTGGAGAACATGTTGATATACCTTTGGACGACAACCGTCCAGAGCGTACGGTAAAGGTTTGGACGGTTGCTTATGCTATGTTGGGTGCAGACTTGCACCTCCTGCTGAATGAATTCAAAGACATTTTTTCCTTTGAAGTGGAAGAGATTCCAGGCGTACAGTAAAGGTTGGGACGGTTGCTTATGCAAAGTTGTTGGACGCTGGGTTCATTCGGCCATGTAATTTTCCCGACTGGGTGGTGAATGTTGTGTTTGTAAAGAAGCCGAATGGTACCTGGAGTATGTGTGTTGATTACACAGACCTCAACAAGGCATGTCCTAAGGACAGTTATCCGCTTTCTAAGATCGATAGTCTGGTCGATTGGACAGCCGGGCATGCCTTGATGAGTTTCATGGATGCCTACTCCGGCTTCCATCAGATACCCCTGTGGAAGAAAGATTAAGAGAAGACGACCTTCGTCACTGATTAGGGGTTATTCTGTTACACTGTGATGCCGTTTGGCTTGAAAAATGCATCGGCTACATTCCAACAGATGATTAATACGATCTTCATTAAT